AGAAAGGTAAAAGTTGTTCCTTTGCCTAAGTAATTAACCACTGCGCCATGAAGACGTATGGAGGAGTGGATGTATAGACCCACGTTTTCTTGGCCTCGGCATTAGTTGGGTGAGTGGACATCTTCACGCCCCGGCCGCTTTACCACCGGGACCAGTTGGGTAAGAGGCTGGGTGGGCCCGAGAGCCAGTCTGGACGATATAGAAAACTCCGACCCCTTGGTAGTCCAGCCCATAGCCAGTCGCTATACCGACTGCGCTACCCCGGCTGTTTCCTATTTGTATAATACATTGTTAGAATTTTTCCTTTTAAAGAATAATTATGTTGTTTTTGAAGTACAAAATAGAAATAGGAACAGCGTGGTCGTATTCAGTCCACCTCCCCCCCCCCTCCGGAACCAGACCTTGTACCCACCACTGCAGCTTTCATGCCAACAGAAACTTATAATATACATAATGGCGATGACATTAAACGAAAGAAACAGAACTTTGGATTGACAAATTGCCGCAGTAGACAAACATTGGGCGGTAACCCAGGGAAACCGGCAAACCATCGGGCGTCATAAAGAAAGACAGTGATGAGAGGGGAAGGATGTTTGCGTGTCAGCATACCTCCCCTCTGACTCTGGCTTCCACGCAAACATTCCATCTATATGCTTGTCTTTACAAACACATCGAACTGTTCATTGATTCAGCGATCGTGATTAGAGATGTGGGCGTTGATTCGAGGTCAGGGGTACGCTCCAGGCACGGTTTAGGCCTAGGTCATTTTCCTGCTGTTTCCTGCTCGAGACTATTTGAATATTTGAATGTTCGATTGAATCGTTTTCTCACTAGTAGGACCTCTGGCATGATATAGTAACCGGCCATTTTGACGTTCTTGTTGGCGGTATACCCCGACGAAAAGGCGTGTCATATGTGTAGGATTGGAGAGGGTGCTGATTATATCTGATTGTCAGTCTGGGCACAATTGTTCATGGTAAATTGTATCTTGATTAATTTTAACGCATTCTCGTATTATGTATACTGAAGAGCAGCAATCGTTTCTCGTGTTAGAATTCACGTTAACTGTGATGTTAATATTTTCAGTTTGCATCAGCAACTCGACGCTTTAAGCGGAAATACGTTTTGCATACGAACTTTGCAAAGTAAAATGATGCTAATATACAGGGTTATTCAAAAAGAATGAACCGATTTCATGACGCATTGCTTCAGTTCTCAAGCATCGTCATGCAATGAGTCAATGACCATTTGAAAGAGGAGTTATCTAAGTTGTGAATGGCTGCCACGGGGGCGCTGAAGTCGCGTCGTTCTTCCAGCAACGTTCAGTTGTTCGTTTACCCTCGGAATGGTGAGTCCTCGGCAAAAGGCGTTCTGCGTTCTCGCGTTCGGGAAAACAAATTCGGTTGTCACGGTGCAGCGTGCTTTTCGAAGGCGTTTCGGCATTAATCCGCCCTGTCCTAAGAACATTCGACGGTGGTTTCGACAGTTTCAAGAGAGTGGGTGTCTGTGTAAAGGAAAAGGTCCAGGACGACCACGAGTCTCGGAGGATCAAGTGGCGAGAATCCGGGCTGCGTTTGAGAGGAGCCCGTGGAAGTCAACAAATCGAGCTAGCCGTGAGCTTGCGATACCTCAATCCACGGTCTGGCGTGTGCTAACAGTACGTCTACATTTGAAAACATACAGACTGCAGCTCGTTCACGCACTTACCAATGACGACACAAGGAAGCGGATGGAATTTTGCCGTTCGATGCTGGAGATGATGGAAGACGAAACCTTCATTTCACGTTTAATTTTTAGTGATGAAGCGACTTTTCAATTGAGCGGCACAGTCAGTCGTCACAATGTGCGTATTTGGGGAACAGAGCACCCACATGAAACAGTTGAGCACGAAAGAGATTCCCCTGAGGTGAACGTCTTCTGTGCTGTGTCTCAGGACAAGGTTTATGGTCCCCTTTTCTTTGAAGGAAACACCATTACAGGACAAACCTATCCCGATATTCTCCAAAACTGGATCTTCACTTAACTGCAAGCAGATTCGCATGACTTCATTTTTCAACAAGATGGAGCACCGCCCCATTGGCACCTGATGGTCCGAGCTTTTTTAAATGATGAAGTGCCCCAATGATGGATTGGTCGGAAGGGGGCCCAAGACCTTGCTCTTAGTTCTTGGCCTGCGAGATCCCCAGACCTAAACGTGTGTGATTTCTTCTTGTGGGGATATGTGAAAGATCACGTTTATGTTCCACCGCTACCCACTAATCTCGATGACCTTAAACATCGAATAACAACAGCGATTAACTCAGTGCATCGTGATATGCTGATACGTGCCTGCGAGTAATTCTCTTACCGCATTGATGTTGCCCGTGCTGCAGGTGATGGCCACATTGAACACTTGTAAGACAGGAAATAAGTTGATTGTGAGTAGAATACTTGTGACTTGGCTGTAGTTTTGTATTCCTTTCCTTTAATAAAATAGTGCATAATAAAATCGGTTCATTCTTTTTGAATAACCCTGTATAATAAACATTCTGTCCGTTATAAAGAGCAGTATCATATTGACATCTCAGATAGGTTCGCAGCTTTGGAAAACTTAGATGCTGCTGAGGTCGATATTAATAGAGCTTGAGAAACTTAGAAAGAATAAAAACAAATTCAGCCAAGGGAGTCAAGGTTATCACGAATTGAAGAAGCAGAGGCATGGTTCATGGTTCAACGAAGGATATTCAGAGTTATTAGATTACAGGAAACAAGCCAAATTGCAGTGGTTACAGGATCCAAGTAAAATAAATGTGGATTATCTGAACAATATAAGACGTGAAACAAGCAGGCATTTCAGGAATAAAAAGCGGGAATATCTGAAAGACAAAATTGATGACCTTGCAATGAACAGTAAGAACAAGAACATTATAAACTGTATAGAAGAATAAATGACTTTAAGAGGGGTCACCAACCCAGAAGTAACTTAGTGAAGTAGGAGAATGGTGATCTGATTGCAGATTCCCACAACATTTTGAATAGGTGGAAGAACTACTTCTCTCAGTTATTGAATGAACACAGGGTCAGTGCTGTTAGACAGAAATACATACAGTTGAGCCGTTAGTAACTGACCCTAGCCAATTTGAGGTTGAAATTACTATTGCAAAGTTGAAAAGGTGTAAATCCCCAAGTAGTGATCAAATTCCGGCAGAACTTATTCAAGCCGGAAGTGAAATATTGCATTCTAAGATCCATAAGCTAATTAATCCCATCAATTACTGATCAGATATTTTGCGTTCCTCAGTTACTGGAAGAAATAGGAGAGTACAATGAGACAGCACATCAGATATTCATAGACTTCAAGCCAGCCTATGATTCAGTTAGGAGAGAAGTATTGTACAGTATTCTGATAGAGTTTGGGATACCCGTGAGACCAGTTAGGCTCACTAAAATGTGTTTAAATGAAATGCATAGTAAAGTCCGTATTTGTTTGATAATTTCCCTATCCAGAATTGTCTAAAACAAGGAGATGCTTTATCGCCAATGCTTTTCAACTTGGTTTAGAATACACCATTAGGAAGGACCAGAAAAACCAGGTGGGACCGAAATTAAACGGGATACATCAGCTGTTGGTCTATGCCTATGATGTGAATCTACTGGGTGATATAGTATAGATACCATAAAGAAAAACACAGAAACTTTAATTGACACAAGTAAGTAGGTTGGTCTAGAAGTAAACATGGAGGAAAGTAAGTATATGATGCTGTCTCATCATCACAATGGAGGGCAAAATTATGACATAAAGATAGCAAACACATGTTTTGAAAATGTAGCACAGTTCAGATGTTTGGGAATGACTGTAACAAATCAAAATCTGATTCAGGAGGAAATTAAGAGGAGATTGAATTTGGGTAATGCTTTCTACCAGTCATTCCAGAACCATTTGTCTTTTTGACTGCTCTCTAAAAACATAAAAATTAGAATATACAAAACTATAATTTTGCCTGTGGTTCTGTATGGGAGTGAAACTTGGTCTCTGACATAATGGGAAGAACTTGGACTGAGGGTGTCTGAGAACAGGGTATTGAGGAGAATATTTGGACCGAAGATAGATGAAGTGATAGGAGTTTGGAGATAACCGCATAATGAGGAGCTTTATAACTTGTTCTATTTGCCAAGTATAATAAGAATGATGAAGTCAAGGTAATGAGTTGAGAAGAGCATGTAGCATGAGTGGGGGAGAAGAGGAATATGTATAGGATATTGGTGGGAAAGCCAGAAAGAAAGGGACCAGTAGGAAGACCAAGATATAGGTGATTGGGTAATATTAAAATGGGTCTTAGAGACATAGAATGGGATGGTATGGTCTGAATCAATCTGGCTCAGGATAGGGGCCAGCGGAGCACTCTAGTGAATATGGTATTGAACCTTCAGAGTCCATAAAATGCTGGGTAATTCTTGAGTAGGTACACAGTTAATGGCTTCTCAAGAAGGGCTCAGCTCCATGAGTGAGTGAGGCTTTATTTATGACTCTGTTCGTATCACGGACATATAGCATCCAGTGACAGAATGATTTAATCAGTAATTAATTTTATAGGATGTGGAAGGAAGGGGTCATGGGCTAATCTGAGATATCCTGGCATTTATATGGAAGGATTGAAGATAATCATCAAACCCCCAGTTAGGATAGCTGGCATCCTCAGTCACCTCACTATTATAAGTCAAAAACATTGCCGTTATGGCCAACTTCCCTGTACTGTGGTATTCCATTGATATTACAGAGGCAGTTGTATTTCAGGTCTTATAATTTTGGTTAAGACTGGTTCAGGCTCTGTTTTTCCCCAAAATTTCTTGCTCTTATAGTGTTTCCACATAAGTTTTGATGGCCAACTCCTGAACTGAATATCAGCATCTGTGACACTGGTTTTATCATTGGCTTTCAGTATTGAGGTTTCACTGTCATATGTGTGCTCTGGAAGAGTTACTGTACTTAAATACTTATACCAAATTTTTTTATGTTGCAGGTATAAAATGCCCGGTGTGTGCCAAGTTTGTGCTACCAGACGACATAGAATGCCACCTAGTGATGTGCCTCACGAAACCTCGGCTCAGCTACAATGGTATTGTATTTCATTTCTGCTTCCAGCTACAGTAACTGCTTACCTGGGATAACAGGTGTAATCATGTACTCCAATATCAAGTATGTGGTCTGAAATATTTCTTACCTCATCAGCCATGATTTCCACATTGCAAACATGTTATTTTTTGGGGCATTAGCCATCCTCCTGTCTTTATCTAAAACACCATCTTGTTTATTTTTCAAAACACAACGTTTTGGAGACTGGATTCTGTCGTCTTCAAGTAAAACCTACTCAGTTGGGCCCAATCAATAGAGCTAGTCCTTATCTCTGTAGATAGGAACTAGTCTCCAAAACGCTGTGTTTTGAAAAGTAAATAGGACGGTATTTTTGTATAAAGACAGGACAATGGATAATGTCCAGAAACGTAATATTTGTATTAATGTACCATTGTCACAGACTTTTTTACATCTGAAGTACCGTTTCATTATGGTAAGACATGTTTGATGTGATAAAGTTTTGCTGTTTGTGGTCCTTTGAGTTGTGAAACCATATATTCTTGTAGGAGAATGCCAGAGTTTTGCCTCCCCCTTTACATCAAAGAGGGTAGGGAGGATGCAATTATTCTACTAAGTTTGACCTTGAAGATGGAGGTGGTATGCTCCCCTGAAGTATTGTTAGTATCAGCTTATGAAGCTACATGACATCACAACCCAGAAAACTGCAGCAAACAATAATTCCCCTGAAGTCATCAGAACTTGTATCAATGAAGTTTATTTAAGTTAAAAATTTAAAACTTAAATTAATCAAACAACTTTTAGTGTGAACATCGAGTTTGAGATTTCAGCGAAATCCATTAAGAGCTTCTGCAGCCGAAACAGACAGACAGATGCACTTGACCTCCTCATTATTAGTTCACTTAACACAACCGATTCCTGCCTGCTATGACTTCAACCCTGCATTAAGCACTTCCCATTTCTTGCTTCTCCTTATAATTTAATTTCAGTTTTTGATGATTGTTAGTTAATACAGAGCTGCTCTGTTTCAGAGGATGTACTAACAGATGACAAGGGGGAGTGTGTAATTTGTCTGGAGGATCTCCAACAGGGTGACACAATTGCAAGGCTGCCCTGTCTCTGTATTTACCACAAGAGGTCAGTGTATGTCATGTTATTGATTCTCAGATTATTTGATGATGGTTCTATTGCAGAAACTAAATAACATCAAATGAGATGTAACACAGATCATGAGTTGTGAGTAGATTGGAAGAAGGTGGTTGTTGGCTGGTTCAGGGTACTAGCCTAGTCAGTGTTCACCTTACAGAGACTGAGGAAAACTATTAAAAATCTCAGTTAAGATACCCAGTAAACTGAACAATATTCAAAATGAGCACCCCAAAACACAGATCTATAATGTTGTTACTGTAGCTCACACAGTGAGTAATGTCAGGCATCCCTCTATGCGCTAAAGTTGGCACTAACTTCGCCAACATGCGGCGGTCACTCAGTCCATATAGTTCGCTCGCAGACTACAGGCCATGGAGTTATATACAGAAACAGTGTTCCATTCTTTTGGGCAGAATCAGAAACATGAATGAGTTCATTTGGTCAAACAGTGTGGAGAGAGGTGAAGCAGGTGAGTCTGCTGCCTGCCTTTGCTCAGAGCATATCACCTGGTAACTGTAAGAGACACCATCTGCTCCCCCTCACATTCTTCTGTAATATGCAGCTGTATGCCATCGCTTTTTGCATAAGATCTTCACCGACTTGCATGGCATATCACATGGTTATTATGCCTAGTAATCAGTTATTAATTTGCTAGTCATTGCAGGTAGTCTCAGATGGTAGTGCATCAGCAGTAATGGTTGTGTGTGCCTTCAATAAATAGTTTCCCAGCAGTGAAGAAGAGGTATACTCATAAATTGAGTGAAGTCTGGCTTCACCCTGCTTCTTAACCCTATAATTCTTTCCCTACCTTTACTCCCACTGGGAGACCTATATCTGTCTGCTTCCATCCTTAGCCTCACATTCATCATAAAGATGTCAGCTGCATTACCCACAGAAACATTAGAGAGGATTCAGCATATAATGTTACTAAAACCGAAAGCTTAACTTATGTTTAGTTCCTATTATGTGTAACCCTTATGCAGTCTGTATTAAAACAGCCTAAGTCTATTGTCTGTTCATTTGTAAAACCATGTCTCATTTTTCATAATTTTAGGTTATAGATGGAATATAATCTGCGTTAAATTTTCTTTCATTCAGCAGAATGTTGGAAGCTTAAACTGAACAGTGTATATGCTATATACATTTATATAGACATCATATCTTTTACATATAAATCATCTAAAACTCCATATATGTGTACGTATTTTAAGGTTCCATTTTAAAATTATCATCCCATGCATGCATAGATCTCTCAGATAATGTGCGGGTTAGCCCATCTCATTCTTTTTAATGGTGTTTTGATCTTGTTTCATCAATATTAGGTGAACAGTACAAAATATGCTGAAGTTCAGTGTATAATTTTCTTCATTCATGCATTAGTTTATCCTTCTTGTTCTTTATTTATATTTTCTTCCAGTAAATTAATGCCAGCATCAGTAAATAGAACATAGTGTGCAGTATCTTCATTGTTATGGTTTACTTACTTACTTACGGAGCTGAACCCTTCTGGAGGAGCCGCCAATTTTGCAGCTACTCAAGAATTTCCCAGCATTTTATGGAACCCGAAGGTTCATCACCGTGTTCACAAGAGCCCTCCACTGGTCCCTATCCTGAGCCAGATCTATCCAATCCATACCATCCCATCCTATCTCTGTAAGATCCATTCTAATATTGTTCACCCACCTACGCCTTGGTCTTCCCAGTGGTCTCTCTCCTTCTGGCTTTCCCACGAATATCCTATACACATTCCTCGTCTCCCCCATTCGTGCTACATGACCTGCCCACCTCATCCTCCTTGACTTGATCATTCTAATTATACATGGAGAAGAGTACAAGTTATGAAGCTCCTCATTATGCAGTTTTCTCCAATCTCCTGTCACTGCATCCTTCTTCAGTCCAAATATTCTCCTAAACACCGTGTTCTCAAACACCCTCAGTCTATGTTCCTTCCTTAATGTTAAGAGACCAAGTTTCACACCCATACAGAACCACAGGCAAAATTATAGTTTTGTATATTCTAATTTTTATGTTTTTGGACAACAGACGAGAAGACAAAAGGTTCTGGACTGAATGGTAGCAAGCATTACCCGAGTTCAGTCTCCTCCTAATTTCCTCCTGAATCAGGTTTTGATCTGTTATTGTTGTTCCCAAATATATGAACTGTGCCACATTTTCAAAACATCTGTTTCCTATCCATTGTTATGGTTTAAGTGATTTCAACTATAAACTTTGGGTTGGATTTGTGATTGCTACTTTCCTTCAGATATTTAGCCAGTAAAGTAAAGCTAGCCTGAAGTGCAGCTTGCTAGGTTTAATGTTTTCCATGAAGCAGAATCCATATTTCCTTTAAATTAGTTATTTAATGATGTCATCAGTATAAGGACTATAGTATTGTGTCAGATTATAGGAGAATTGATGAATAATGAATTAGAAAGGATTTGGATGGAAATGGTCATGGTCTAATCCAGGTACTGTCCTGGCATTTCCCAGAATGGATTGAGGAAACCCAAGAAAAACCTTATGGTAGCCAGTGTCTTAGCCAAGATTCAAACCGAGCATCTCTCAAATACAAGTTGAGAGCACTACTGCTATACCAGCCTGTTTGATGGGAGCCTTTCTTGAGAAGATAGCAGTATCTCTCCTCCATATCAGGTGGCCTCATGCACGCTTTGTGCCCCATCCATCTCAAATTGATCACCCTGCTAATATTTCTAAAAGTTCAATTGCCACATTTCATGGTCTTAAGTTTGTGGCATAACTGCCCTCACCTCATGAGTTAAAAATATCTGCCTTATTGGTGGCACTGTGGTAAAGATAAAGTTGTCTCTGTGCTTAACTAATTAAGCACTACACCATGAAGGCATATGGGGGAGTGGATATATAGATCCACATTTTCTTAACCTTGGCACTAGCTGGAAGTGAGTGTTATTGATGATAGGAGATAAAAATGTGGACAAGTAAGTGGCCTCTAGGAACATGATCTACATACAAAGTTGCACAAAAATCCATCAGTCCCTTGAATAGATATTAGGACACAGAAGAGGACAATATGTGGCATGGATCTGTATTTTCTTTTATAAATTAATGAAATAAATCTAAAAATGACCATATACACATACAGATGTGATAAATACCATTTATTGAAATAATTATCAAATTAAATCAGAATCTGTATCTCTTTTTGTAGTAAATAATTGTTGGTGTTGTTTCAGTTGCATCGACAGGTGGTTTGAGGTAAACCGGTCATGTCCAGAGCATCCCGGCGACTAGCCTCCGTGCAACTCGAGGGAGCAGGCTCCAGACCTACTGATGTAGCCCCCTTCATTGTTACTGGATTGGTTTCAGTCACCATACATAACTACAGACAGGCCTTCTCCACAAGATGGAATTACCTCTACAACTGCCAGTGCCATCCAAATGCTACACTACATAATCAGTCAACTAGAGTGATCTTTGGTGTGAAGCCATCAGCATTTTGCCTCTGCACTAGTTTATTATAAGTTGGCCTTTTCAAGATGCATTGATGCCAATAGCATAAGAAGGTTCAGTTGCAGGAAGATACTGAAGCTTTGGGCCGCTTGTTTCTTTTACTCACCAGCAGGAACATTTCAGCTTCATAATTCCACTTCTTCCTGTTACAGATATTGTTTCGAAATTTGGATGGTACACTGATCACTGGAAAGCTATGCTTCTCTATATCAGAGGTGGTATTTTGGAGTGATATAATGTTTGTTCTAAGTTTAGTTGGAGGAACCATTGTTCTTGGTGGAGACTGAACTTGCAACAATTCAAGTTACAGAATTTCACTTACTGCTTGCTTCACATCATGCAAGCTGTTTGTTACATACAAGATTTGTTCAATGAATATACATCATATAAATATATATAAACAAGTTTAGTAATATATAGTATATCAGTTACGAAAAAAAAAACATTGAGATGATTAGTCTTGTACAGGAACTATAAAATGTATCTTTTTTTTATTTGTGTATATTCCTTTATCCCTTTAATTCTAATTACTATGCAGTGACTAATGTCTGTCATTCATTTTTCTTTACTGAAGCCAACAACTTATGATTCAGACAGGTTATTTTTCTTTTGGAAAAATGTACAGAAAGTAATGGGGCTCACACCATTGCTTTGAAAAGGATATACAGTCTCTTTCACAGCAAAGTGATATTTTTGATACTTTCATAAGAAATCTCATAGCAGAAGATGCAGTTTGATAGACTTGTGAGAACTATCCAGCATCAGAATTAACAGTCAGTCTGTCCCCAACACAGTGGACACATGTATCATGAAGATAAATGGTTGATATGTTTAGGCACAAATTTTAGGGTGAATCATAAGCAGGACTTGTTTATGGAAACTGAAGCTTTGAGGTTATGAACATTTAATGGGAGTGGATAATTTGGTGTTAAATTCCATATTATCTTGAAGTGAAGAAACAGTTAATATTGAGATATAATTCCCTTATGAAAATAAACTCTGTACCCAAACATCAGAGTAAAGACAACACACATATATATATCCAGCAGTGCTCGGAAATAACTGAATGTTTAAACTGAGGAACACTTCCCTCTTACTAAAAGGAGAAAGTTAGTGGTAATAAGTTCCATGCTGTTATGCTTGAATCAGCGATAGGCAGCTGCTGTCTGCAGCTCATTACCAGATTGTGCAAGAGATTTATACAGACCTAAGTACACTGTACTGTTTCACCATGGAATGCAACACTCTGTAAGAGGGGTGAAATGGGATTCCCATTGAAAATTAAGTTAGCATGTTGTGGGAGGTAAGCTCTCATGACTTTGTCATCTGTTAATAATTTATTAATTACATACAGTTTGTGTTGAACTGGCAGTAGGCCTAATTTTCCATATGATTAAAATATCTCCCAAGTTATATTCATTTATGCTTTTCATTCAAATTGTTTGCAAATGAAAAAAAGGAGAATGTATTACATTGTTTTGAATTATTTGTGAAAGTAGACTTCTTTAAAGAAGGCGTTGATTGTTCATTATTTTTTTTCACCTTCATACTAAAGTTGATGTACAATCAAGTCATTCAGGAAGTGAAAAGTTTTTATGGAAGGAGATGGTAGATTATGTGAAATAAAGCCTTAACTGATTTAATTTTGTTTTACATAATAAGGAATCAGACTTCCAAATATTATCTGGGATCTATAGAAGACATGTAGGCTGCTCATCCTGCCTCCGAGAACCACTATATCTGAATAAGACTGAGTGACACGTGTGAAAATGATCTACTGCCGTGCCATATTTTATTGTCCACGTGTCTTAATATAGAGGTGAAAGTGGAGTGGCTCCATTTGTAGTTTGTATCAGGACTACAAAGTTTTTCATTTGTAGCACAGAGCTTCACATCCATCTGTTCACAAGTGTAATTGTCCATGCCACTATCTACAGTGAACAACATTTTATGACAAGCCTTGTCACATTCTTCCAACATATTCAGTTAGGAAAACATAAATTGACATGCTGCAGAGCTTGAATTGGCTGGAAATGTATTGAAACCATTATCTATTTAATATTGTGACTGGGTTGTGCCTTTTATTGTCAGTACTCAAGCATTCACCTTTTTAATTGATTTATCTTCCTTTTATTAATACTGACATAAATTTCAACTTTTTCCTTTTTGAATGAATATAAGAACTTACTGTATGTTCATAAAAACATAGTAGACTCTACACATGAATCTTGAATTGGTGAGCTATGTCATTGCCTGAGCAAGTGGAAGAGCATGAAGTTCCTCATGCTGTGTGTTCTGAAAATATTATCCCATGCCTAATAAACATGAGCAGTGTATGTAAGCATTCAGTATAGTCTGATGAATAATAGGAAGAGATATGTTAGATTCAATGTGCAGGTGCAAAGTTTGCTTTCTCAGGGTAATGATCACCATCCCCACAGATTTCATGTTCCCATTCTATTAAAACTGTTGTGCAAATAAGGGGATTTTTTTCTCAGCTTTAATTTATATTATGTCTGAATTACTTTTTTTGTAGTATTAATTTCTTCAGATGAGTGATGTATTAGCAACTTGTGCAGCATACACTTTGAACTTTTCTAGTAAGTGTTGACACCAGAAACTATTGGTGCTAGCTGATTAAGGACTTGGAAGTTATGTAGTGTGTGTAATGTTATTATTGCTATTATTACTTGTGATGTGATTGCAAGGAATATGAACCATATATTAATAATTAAGTCATTATAAAAGTTACTGCTCATATTTTAGTTACAACCTTTCCTTATATCCCATTCGTGAATTTCCATTTATAGTACCTAAGTCAGGATGTGGCATTGCAGAAAAGTTCCCAAGAAGACCATTGGAGACTGGATGAACAGAACTCATCTAGAACACTGGTAACCAATTCCTGGACACAAACATGGAAAGGGCATTCTTTAAGAACTTTGTGCAATAAGTTTGTAGAACTATCATTCTTGAACTGTTCCACAAACATGTTCCAACATGCGTGTTGTACATCATAGTTAGTTAAATAGACCATTATGACATTAGAAAGTTACTGGATTAGTTTTCAGAATACCTCTGGTATTCATGCATCATTGATAAATTTAAACATGCTGTCTTAATACTTTCCTGAGAAGATGGCAGTAAGTATGTGTGAATGATGTGAAGGCACTCTAAAATCCATATGTACAGTATTTTGAAATCAAATTAATATTCTGTATGTCATATTGGACACAGTTATCCCATACAGCAGTTGAAGAGTTTTGTTACAATTATAGTAATTCCGCAAAGGGAAGCAGTATTCTAACCACATACTCTTTTATTTATCACATTTTCCAGTACAGTACAAAGCTCTGTAGAATGTGTTCAAACACTGAGCCACAAATTGTATCCAATACTCCACATTCAATGAAGTAATTAAGAAACAAACTTTTCATGATGAGTAATATCTCCTGTGGTCTGTGCTGATGATAATTGATTATGCAGAAACATGAATGCATAAATAAATGAATGTTCATTCCTACTCAGCAGAATGCAGTACAACATCTCAATACAAGAACGAGTTTTATGTGAAACTTTGCCTTATGCTGATAGAACAGAGACTAGAATTGTTTTAGGACAAACACATGCAAAAAAAGGAACTGGAGCAAGTCAAATAATAATGACATGCATAATTTTTATCTTGTCTGTATATCATTGGGATTATTAAATTAAGGATGATTTAGACATACATTGCATGCATGAGGAACTACCTGCCAAAGTTTGTTGGAAACCCACATGGCAACCTAGTGCAAATGGGAGGAAAGTAAAGGTGAAGTTGTCCCTGTGCTCATCTGATAAGCACCACACCATAAGGACATAGGCATTGGAGGTATAGCTTAGCCTCGGCACACTAAATGGAAGTAAATGGTGAGCTTCATGCTCTAGCTCAGTTCCTGCCTGGTATCAAACCCTAGTTCCTAGTGTACATGGGAGGCTAATACTGTCATGATTTTAATTACTAGACATGGAGTTTGGATTAGTAATTGAATTTATTGAAGTCTTATAAATAGTAATTACAAGTAGTTATGACAGTCTTGCTAATTTATGCACTTGACATTTCACTGCAGCACTCTTTAAGTCTTCTAATTTGCCTTCACTAGCCTGTCATCAGTCACAATACCGACTGAGCGATGCAGGCTCCTAGCATACATGGGATGATGAAATTAATCTTAAAGATGTGAAGGTTATCAATTGGATTGAACAGGCTCAGTATAGAATCCAGATGGTAGCTTTTGTGAATATGATGACCGTCATGTTCTACAATGACAGAATTTCTTGACCACATGAATAGTGTTACATGAAAGACTGCATCATGGAAGTAGCATTTCTTAATTGTATGTTGAGTAAGAAGTAAATATGATATCTGTTGAAAGGTATTAGGACCTTTTATGCATAAAGCCTCTATGCTGTAACCACGGTATAAACATATTTGGATAGCCACATAGTGTGAAAGGTAGCTATAATCTGTCGTCGAGCTGCTGTGATGACTATATGTGTTAATGGTGTAAAGATGCTTCTTACTGCAAATGAAACTTTACCTAATCAGCATATGATGAAGGAAAATCAGAATGGCCAAAATAGAGCTTCCCATATTAGGAGGTGTATGACTTGTCCAGCTGCATTCATCTCCAGGAAAGTGACCTTGGGATTTGTGAGAATGTTTGATTTGATTTGACAGAGTCATTCTGGTGATGGGTCAACCTGTCTCAGAGCCATGCACAAGTTTTACAGTAATGAAGATGCTACAGCAGCTTATGTGCCATAGTGTGAAAACATGCAGAAGAGAAATTGGACCAATGTCCTACATATCACAGTGAAGAGTGAAGTTGTACATCAGATGTGCAGTGAGATGAAGGATTTCTTGGAACAACTTAATGATGCTTGCACCCTCCAAATGCTTCAGTCTATATGATGATATAGATATGAATTGACAGCAAGGCAGTGAGCAGTTTCCAGCAGAAGAGATTCTCAATATACTAAATTTGCCAGATATAAGCTTAAATTAACAATTACATCACTTCATGATACTTTTGCTGTTAGTACTAAACTATGCTTTCCATTTGAAAGGCTTCTTGCTACATTAAATTTGTTAGATGTAACCTTTGAGGTTTTTATTCCATCAAAATATTTACAAATTTGGCAAAAAAATATTTGATGTAACATTCATTCTTGGGTTTATGATATGTGGTGCAATAGTTTGCATGTCTGTCATGTTAGTATTATGAATGGCAGGGTAATAAAAAGCACATGAGATTTCAGTTTTTCATGGTGGTGACTGCATCTTCAAGTAGAAGTATGCATATAAAGTCACCTTCAGTGGGATGATGTAAATGCCAGATGTAATGAAGATCTGTCAATTAGTTCAAAAGCTATTCATATAAATTTAACTTGGAAGTTGGAAGTATTTGTTTAATTTCTAGTGGGGTGGGACTAAGTCCCTTGTACTGCGGCCACTTCCAGAAGTGGGACAATAGGCCAGCCCCAGATGATAGGTGAGGGTGATTGTGGAGCAATTGGTGGAATGAAGATTGATAGGGGAAACCAAAGTACTCAGAGAAAACCTGCCCCACACCACTTTGTCCACCACAAATCCCACTTGACCAGACCGGGGATAGAACCCGGGCCGCTGCGGTGGAAAGCCACCGACTAACCGCTTGAGCTATGGCGCGGCCCAGTTGGAAGTAACTCAGCGTTGTTAAGATTACCCCCTCCTAGTGGATATTAATGTGTTAAACAGAGAAGTGACTATTTAATTTTACTGATGCAGCGAAGGTTAAAATCTGTTTTGCCGAATTGTTTGCACCATTGAATGGCAAAGGGAAGTAAAATGATAATGAAAACTACACATTTTGGAATACATTGCCAGGCAACAAGCGCTAAAGAAGTAACTACACCATCCGGTTCTACGTAACGGCTTCCTAAACAAGCATATTTCCATGGCAACAATTGCATTGTAACAGAAGAACGGTGTTTTCTACGTGTCCGTGCCGAAATAATTTAAGTAGACCTGACTCTGATTCATGAGTTTATGTTAGTCAGTCAGTCAGTCAGTCTGTGAGTTACTGCGTGAATTGGAGGATTTCGAGAACCCAGAGGAAAGAAACGTCCTCTGTTGGAAGACACTACCAAGCAAAGTCTAGTGAAGACTGTAACGCACTAAGAAGACCTTGTGAGTAAGCAGGAGAGAACTAATTTCTTTAACAACAAGGATAGAAAATACGCAAAAATGTGTAAAAGAGGAATGTTACTATTATTCATGATAATCACAGGATCAATAGTTTTTGTGAAAAATCCCAAAAACCTATTCCCCCAAGTCCCAGTGTCCAGACATATTCCAACAGCTGAACAAATCCCA